ACCTGTGGCTCCGCGCGCGCGTGCGTAGTGGGTGGTGGTGCACGTGCGTGCGTGCGTGCGTGTGTGCGTGGTTGTCGTGGTGGTGGTGGTGGTGGTGGGTGGTGGTGGTGGTGGTGGTGGTGTGGTGGTGGTGGTGGTGGTGCTGGTGGTGGTGGCTGGTGGTGTGGTGGTGGTGGTGTGTGGTGCTGGTGTGGTGGTGTGTGGTGGTGGTGGTGGTGGTGGTGGTGGTGGTGGTGGTGGTGGTGGTGGTGGTGGGGTGGTGGTGCGGCGCGGTGGTGGCGGGCGGATGGGCGCGCGAGAAAGAGGCCCGCGCTGGGGCGAGAACGCCATCCTGAACGACGGAGGCCAAACACCGATCCGAAAATGAGGCCCACGCTGCAGCGGGAGCACGATTCGGAACGTTTCGGGAGCAGAAATGAGGCCGGCGCCTCAGCGAGAGCATCATTTTGAAAAAAAAACGCAGGCGAAAACCCGTTTCCCGGGAATCCTGTGTGTAAGAAAACAATACGCGGGGGGCGTTCGGCCCGAAAATGACGCCTGCGCCTCAGCGGAAGTCGTTTCCCGGGATTTCCTGGGAATCCTGTGTGTGAAAAAACAGTACGCGGAGGGTGCGCGGCCATCACCCGGACGCCATCAGGGGAAGAGGGAGAGTATTTTCATATTGAGTAATTGTGGAGGGGGAGGGGGAGGACCTCTCCCGGGGTGCGTTCTGACCAGAATTTCGAGGCAAACTCCAGCGGTGGCGACGAGGGCCTCTCAGGAGGCCCAAAAAGAGGATAACGGGCGAGGGGTAGAGGTATGGGTACCTTCCCTTCCTCTGAGATGTTCATTTCGGTCACACTTTGGGGCGCACGGCGTTTCCGGTCACAACTTCCGGCAAGTGATCGGTCAATTCTTTGTTCGGTCACCTGCAGTAGGGGCCCGACTACAAGAAACCTTCCACAGGAAACCCAACCCTGAGACCCCAGGCCGTCCATCGGTTGTTAGTGCGGGAACGTCACGCTCTCCACAGCAAAACACCATCGAAACCCAAGAAACCCAGGGCACCTTGGAGGCAAGCAGGGTGCTTCTTGGCCTCGGCTCCCCACTGTACGCTTGACCCCAATGGGCAAACAGCAAATGAAATGTTCGCTGGCTGTTGACAAGTCTTCGCGTTTCTGCCGTTTCTGCTCCCGACGCCCCAGAACAGCCCGAGAGGCCCCAAAGATGGGCCCAAGCCGGCCTACGACGTCTAGAGGGCGCCGAGACGGCGCAAAAAGGCCTCCAAGAGGCCCCTAGATAGGGGGAAAACAAACCTACCTCGCGTTTGACCACCCTCGCTTCCAAGAGATACCAAGCGATGCCAAACTACGGCCTGTACTGGACAGGTCGCTTGACGAGGAGGCGCGTGGTATGACTTGGTTTTTCCTGGAAGCGAAAGCGGGGTAGGTAATTCACGCTCTGACTAGAGGCCTCCAAGACGGCCTGAGACGGCCAAACACACCTCAAGACGGACCCAGATGGCGAACACGAACCGGCATTTCGAGCTCACCGCCCCAAGAGGCTTCTGGGAGGGCCCAAGTGGCGCCCAAGAGGCCCACAAGAGGTCCCAAGAGGCCTCCAAGAGGCCACCAGGAACCCCAAGACGCTCCCAAGAGGCTCCCAAGCGGCCTCCAAACTGCCTCCAGAGGCCCCCGACAGCCCCCCGAAAGGATCCCAAGAGGCACCCATGAGGATTCTGACCCACTGCCCAGGCACGATGGCGCCCTCATGGGGCCCTCTCAAGCCTTCCCAGAAGGTCCCCAACAACATCGTGGCAAGGCAAGGTGGCGGGATGGGCCGTGGGCCACCAGATAATCCAAGAGGGGCCAGAAATCGCCTGAGTGCCCCAAGAGAGACCCCAGGGGGCCCTCACAGAATTCCCCAAGAGACGGCCAGGCTCGCCTCCCCGATGGTCAAGATGGCGCTGCATTGCCGTCAAGACGGTCCAAGAGACCCTCAAAGACTGCGAAGATGACCCCGGCTGACCTAAGATGGGCCCAAGATACCTCTATGACGGTCCTGGATGGCGGCAAGAGACCGCAATGAGGTTCAGGTTCCCAAAGGGTCTCCTCTCCTCCTCCTCCTCCTCCTCCTCCTCCTCCTCCTCCTCCTCCTCCTTGTTGTCCTCCTCGTTCTTCTCCTCTTCCTCCTTCTCCTCCCCCACCTCCTCCTCCGCCTCCTTCTCCTCCCTCTCCCGATTCCCCCTCTTTCCCCCCCCCCCCAGCGGCTGCGAGAGCACATTGGCAGGTACATTGGCCAAACGGTACTCCTCGTCGTACGCTTCTGCGGAACCTCAGGGGGCTCCAGGGCAACTCTTCAGGGCGTCTGGTCACAACCATCCCGAACACCTTTGGCTGTCTGGGGGGTTTTGTGACCTCCATCATGGGTCTTCTTCCAGGGTCGGCGGCAATGGACGTGAGGCCTGACCGCAGACGATGGCTTACACACCCGACGTTGACTTTCGATGTGCTGTTGCTCTATCAGAACGTTCCCGGGCCGCTAGATTTGGCCCTCTCGCTGCAACGCTGTACGCATTTCAAGATCGGAGCGTCGCTCCCGCCGTTCAGATTTGCGACTCGCCCCAACGCAGGACACATCTGTAGATCCGTTTCGTTCCACGTCGCTGCTGTTCTCCTCCGCTCCCTCGTCCGCCTTCCCCTGGTGCTCCTGCTCCTCGTACTTCGCCTGGTCCTCATGCTGTTCCTTTTTCCTGGCTTTCCAGCCCTGCCTCCGGCAATTCCTCCTGCTCATCCGTCACCTCCGCCTCCTCCTCCCCGCCCACAGTACAATGTTTCCTCTCCTGATCGCGCATCACACGATGGGATATTCTAGTACACCCCAGCGGGCGGACACAACATAATTCAGCGCAATGGGACAGGACGGGAGGGAAGGGAAGGACGATATGGCGAAGGCGCACCTTGCTGAATGATTACAAACTATGAGAACTTCTATCCCCTCCCCTGAATATGTCCAACAAGTCTCCCGTCCTTTCCGCGTCTTGCTTTGTTTTACACTATAGACTCCATGATGTGTTTTGTAATATGCGTTTTGTTCAAGCCAGTCTTGTCTGGCTCTTGAAACAGGGTGCTCCCACTGAAGCGCCGCCCTCGTGTCCGCGCTTCGGTCATTCAAAATCGTGCTCCCGCTGCAGCGCTGGCCTCGTTCCCGCGCCTACACACGGCACTTGGCATTCGAAAACACCCACATCGGGCAGGCACGGTTGCGGAGGACATGGAGCCGACATTCTGGACAGGCCCTGTCCTCTCGCAGACGTGCCACTTACCCTCCAAGTCATCTGGTGCCGTGCCACGGCATGCAATGCGATCCTGTGATGTGCAACGCTGTGCGATGCCACGCTTTGCGTTGCTATGCTTTGTGATGAAAGACTTCACTACGAAATGCCACGCCATGCTATGACATGCAATGCTCTGCCGTGCTCTTCTACGCCATGCTCTTCCATCCATCGCGTACCCTCTGAGGACAACTGCCCTGCTCGACATCCGACTGTGCGGATAGATAAAAGATGTACGCCATGGTAAGGGATGGGAGGGAGGGGTAGGACGTCAGATGTGCCGATAGCGCACCTAGCTTGTCTCTCCCCTCCCTCTCACTCCGACGTTCCGGGAGGGCCCCGAAGTCCCAAGAACACCCCAGAGCTCCTGAGTCGCCCAGAGGCCTCCAGAAGCTACTGGAGACACAAACCAAAAACAAACAAATCTGCTTCGGAACACACGATCCTCGGGATCCTCCCTTCTCCCCTGCCCCACCGCATCTTCATACCTAAGCCCTTCCTCTCTCATTTCCCTCTCCTCCTCCTCCTCCTCCTCCTTCTCCTGCTCGCGCCCCTCCTCCGCACCAGCCCCAACTCATTCTCCCCCCCGCCCTCTCTGGAAAACAAAATGGCAACGATACCGCTACTCCCCAGACCTCTCCCGAGGTGCGTCCTGCCCAGAACTTCGTAGAGAATACAGCCGTGGCGACGAGGGCTCTCAAGGACAAGCATGGGTGTTGGCATCGCTTTGCTCCTCTGAGCCTCTTTCTCCTCTCGCCCTTGCCTTGCAATTGGGACCGATCCACAAGATACCTTCCAAAAGAAACCCAACCCCAAAACCCCAGGACGACCATGGGTCTCTGGTCTGGGAGCGTCACGCCTCCCATTTACCCAAGAAACCCAGGGCACTCTGGAGGCAAGCAGCGCGTTTCTCGGCATGGGTCTCCACTGCACTCCTGAGGGGCAACGATAGGGGGAAGACTCGCATCGGGGGGGACACTTTTCTGATTCGCGGGTCGAGGGCGCACCTCTTCCGGTCGAAGCAAAGCGGGCCGCGCAGAGCTTGACTTACGCAGAGAAGGGGGAGGAGGAGGGCGCAGCCTCAGAACGAGGCCGGGAGGATGATCGGGGGGGACACATCGACCTGGAATCGGCGATACATCGCCGATCGATCGCCGATGGGGCCCCCATCGTGAGTCCGCAAGCGCATGGGCAGGCTCGGGCTCTCGGGCCCCATATCGGCGATCGGTGGGCGAGGGGGGGTCGACGCGCCCCCCCCTGGGCCTCTCCCCCCCTGTCGTTGCCCTCGAATTGGGGGAGGAGGAGGAGGAGGAGGAGGAGGAGGAGGAGGAGGAGGAGGAGGAGGAGGAGGAGGAGGAGGAGGAGGAGGAGGAGGAGGAGGCGGAGGAGGAGGGAGGAGGAGAGGAAGGGAAGAGGAGGAGGAGGGAGGAGGAGGAGGAGGAGGGGAGGAGGAGGAGGAGAGGAGGGAGGAGGAGGGAGGAGGAGGAGGAGGAGGAGGAGGAGGAGGAGGAGGAGGGGAGGAGGAGGAGGAGGAGGAGGAGGAAGGAGGGAGGAGGCCAGGAGAGGAGGAGGAGGAGGAGGAGGAGGAGGTGGAGGAGGGAGGAGGAGGAGGAGGAGGAAGGAGGTGGGAGGAGGAGGGAGGAGGGGGAGGCCCGCGGCGGGGAGCGAGCGGCGGCCCGCCGCGCGCCTGCCACACCCGGCAGGGGATGCCGGGCAGCCAGCGGCACACCGACCTGCGGCCGGCTGCGGGCGCGGCCCCCTCAGGCGCTCCCAGGCGCTCCCAGGCGCTCCCAGGCGCTCCCAACCGCTCCCCCCAGCGCAGCAGGGGCGGCATCGCCCGGAGAGGTCATGACTACCTACCAGACCACCCCAACCCAACCCGAAGACCCGAATTTGAATCGAATTTCGGGTTGGGGGGGTCACGGGTTCCATTGTTTGTTCAACGTTCTCCGACCCCTCCCCCCCCCCCACCGGAAATGGAGGGCAAATTGAGGCCTTCGGGTTGGGTTGGGGTGGATTGGTAGATGGTGACCGAAGAGGTCAGGGTGGTGGTGGGCGGAGAGGTCAGGAAGCAACTTCTGGGAGGTCCTCGTCGTACGCCCACTTGGGGGCCTCGGATTGAGCGGGATGGAGCCGGGGATTGAGCGGGATCAAGCGGGATTGAGCCAGATTAGGCGGGATTAAGCCGGCCTTCGGAACAGGGCAAAATCAGAATCTGACCTCCCAGGAGTTGCATCCGAAGAGAGGTGTGTGGCACCAGCCCTGGCGGGGGGCGACGTGGGAGCCCGTGGCCCAGACGATGTGCGTTGCTGCTGCCGTTGTGGTGGTTGCCGCTGTCGTTGCTGCTGCCGTTGCTGGCTGCTGCTGCTGCTGCTGTTGATGCTGCTGTTGATGCTGTTGCTGCCGATGCTGCCGTTGTTGCTGCTGCTGTTGCTGGTGTTGTTGCTGTCGCTGTTGTTGTTGGTGTTGCTGCTGTAGTGTTGCTGTGGAAATATCTGTTATATCGAATGTTTATTGCTGATCCCCCTTGCGCGATGACCATTGCATTCTTCAGATACAATGCTACTCGCGGGGCTCGCACCATGTATTTGTGCAAGAAACAATGAAGTGCCATCAACATGTGCCCCTGGCTTCCGGTTTACAACAACAACGGGGCCCGGCCGATACTCACTCACGAGGTATTCCCAAATCGCGTTCTCGTGCAGGACGTGCTCACAATGTACAGAAGAATAGCGCTCTCGGTTGGGACCTCCCCGCCATCGTTGCGCACGCCGCGCCCCTGGCACTCGGGAGTCACGCTCTCGCTGTAGATGTGCTAGCGCTTCATTTTGGCATCGCGTTATCGCTCCAGACGTCCACGCGAGTCATGCAGGACGCACACTTCAACAAACCGCCTGCTCGATCTGCCCCCCTGGGCCCGCCTTCCCGACCCGCTCATTCGCGCCTACCTACCCGCCCGATCAGCCCGTCTGTTTCTGCCACCTTCTTTCTGCTGCCAGCTCCGGTCCTGCTATTTTTTGTCGTGTTTTGGCCTCCTCCATCACCTTGTCCCTTCCTTCCATCCGTCCTCTCTTCCATTGCCTTACGGGCTGCGCGAAATACACGTTGCACGAGTACGATCGCAGACGGAGAGGGCGGTTATCGATGGTTTGGGACGTACGTGCCGAATGGTGGCACGCGAACAAATAAAAACGAGCAGTCTTAACATTGTTGTTGATTCTCCATCAAACCATATACTTGATCCCCCCATCGGGCGGTAATCATTGCACTGTCTAGTTTGATTAAAGTTGCTGCACCTTGGGCTCGTACTCGGCTTTTGCAGGGACAGATCTCATGTCACCAAGCTGAGCCCGTGGCCCCTGATTTACAACATCTGGTCCCTTGCAATATTTCCTCGCAGTGCGTTCCCAAGTCGGGCTCTCGCCCAGGAGGGAAGTGGAGGGGTGGAGGAAGACGGGTTGCATTGCCTCTCCTTCGCGTTCCCGCTGCCCTCGCACTGCAACTACATTGGAAGGTGGGGGTGGGAAAGGGGGGAAGGGAACTCCTTTTGCATGCCCATTGGATTCTTGTGGTACTCCGATTGGAAGAGTACGGAGGGAAGGAGGGAGGCAGGGAGAGGGGGGGGGAGAGAAGAGGAACAGGGAGAGGGGAGAGGCGGACGGGGGGGCCCAGATGTGCAGCGATCATCGTTCCCTCGCCCTTCCCCCGCGCAGCGCAGAGTGGACAAAAGGAACGGGGGCAGCAATTACCCCTCGCGCCCTCCGCGCGCAAAGCAGAAGACGAACTAAGCTAGGGAGGTGTTGCCCTCTCTCTCTCTCATGCCTTGTGTCTCTCTCTCTCTCTCTTTAGTTATGTCTCTCTCTTTCTCTCTCTCTCTCTCTCTCTCTCTCTCTCTCTCTTTCTGTCCCTCCCTCCCTCCTTTCAATGTTTGTAAATATAGTTATCCTTGTGTCGCCTTCTCACGCTCCCTCTCTCTCTCTCTCTTTCTCTATTTTTTCGGTTATCTCTCTCTCTCTCTCTCCCTTTGTTGTTCTCTCTCTCTCTCTCTCTCTGTCTCTCTCTCTCTCTCTCTCTCTTTCTCTCTCGACGCGCGCAACGCAGGGAGCCAGCTGGGGGGGAATGGCTGCTCTCCTACACCCCTACGGGCAATGGAGGGGGTGATGGTTGATATCTCGCATTCTGTACACCCAGACGGATGGGCGGAAATCAGGGGAGCAATGATTGATCGGCCCATGCCTTTCTCTCTCTCTCTCTCTCCTTCCCTCCCTCCATCTCTCTCTCTCTCTCTCTCATTATTCTCTGTATGTTCGTACATCTTTCTTTTCGTTCGTCGTCGTCCCCCTGGTCTGGTCCTGGCCCTGGGCCCAACCTCCCCCCCTGGTCCTGGCCCCAGCCCCCCTTGCCCCGCTGGCCCTGGCCCTGGACCCAGCCTCCCCCACCCGGCCTTGGCCCCAGTCACCCTCGCCCTGGACCCTTTATTTTCGTGGTTCGTCGTCGTCCCCCTGGCTCTGGCCTGCTTCCCCTGGCCCCCTCGCCCCCGTCCTCCTGCCCTGGCCCTGACCCAGCCTCCCTCCTTGGCTCTGGCATCTCCTGCCCTGGCCCAGCCCCCCCTCGCCCCAGACCATTTATTTTCGAGGTCCGTCGTCTTCCCCCTGGCTCTGGCCTGCTTCCCCTGGCCCCCTCGCCCCCGTCCTCCTGCCCTGGCCCTGGACCCAGCCTCCCTCCTTGGCTCTGGCGCCCCCCCCTCATTTTTATTTTCGTGGTTCGTCGTCGTCCCCCTGGCTCTGGCCTGCTTCCCCTGGCCCCCGCGCCCCCGTCCTCCTGCCCTGGCCCTGAACCCAGCCTCCCTCCTTGGCTCTGGCGACCCCTGGCCCTGGCCCCAGTCCCCCTCGCCCCGGCCCATTTATTTTCGTGGTTCATGGTTTGTCGTCGTCCCCCTGGCTGTGGCCCGCCCCCCCTCGCCCCAACCCGGACCTCTGGCCTCTGGTCCGAGCCCCAGCCCCATGGCCCTGGCTGCACTCAGCTTGCTTCCTGGCCTTGGCCCCACTCGCCCCGACCCTGGCCTTCGCCCCAGCCCTCCTCGCCCCGGACCGTGTACTTTCGTGGGTTCGAACCTGGACCTCTGGCCATGGTCTGCCCAGGACCCCCAATCGCCCCGACCCTGGCCTTGGCCCCAACCCTCCTCGCCCCGGACCCTTTATGTTCATGGTCCCGTCCCCCTGGCTCTGGCCCCCCATCCCCTGGCTCTCTCGCCCCCCACTCGCTCCTCCTCTTCTCTGCCTCCTCAAAATGTGCAAGAGCCAGGGCACGCGTGCCACTTGCTTCTCCCGCTCCCTCTCTCTCTCTCTCTCTCTCTCCCTCTCTCCCTCTCTCTCTCTCTCTGTCATTCGTCCTCCCTGGCCACGCGCAACGCCGGGGCTAGCAATGGGGCGGAGCATCGATTACCCCTTTTCCACCCTCCACGCACAACGCAGAAGAGAAACTCGGAGGGGGAGCGTTTGCTCTCTCGTTCTCTCTCTCTTTCTCTCTCTCTCTCTCTCTTTACCACTCTCTCTGTCTCCTTTTTTCTCTCTCTCTCTCTCTCTCTCTCTGTCTCTGTCTCTCTCTCTCTCTTTATATATCGTTCTCTCTCTCTCTCTCTCTCCCTCTCTCGTTCGCTCGTTCTCTCTTTCTCTCGTTCTCTCTCTCTCTCTCTCTCTCTCCCTCGCTTTGTCTCTCTTTCGGTTGTTTCTCTGTCTGTCCACATGAACATGGTAGAGGTAGAGCTCAGAATGGGGAAGCGGTTGCCCCCACTCACTCTGCACGCCCATCACACTAGGGAAATGCCACGCGGTTGCCCACTCTAACACAAACCGCAGCACGACACATAAGGGGGAGGAGGTGTCGGCGGTAGTAGGGGGGATTGTCTCCAGCACCACACTGTCGGTGGCGAAGTAGCGCTTGTGGTGGCAGCAGTAGTAGAAGTATTCGTAGAAGAGAGTGGCAGGGTGGTGGTACTTGTCCTTTCTGCCGCTCAGTATCTCTCTACTGTTCCTTTCTGCCGCTCATTCTCCTTCCTTGATGGAGGTGGCGGTGGTGGTAGGAGGGGGTCGCCTCCACCACCGCCGCAATCGCCACCGCCATCCTCCTGACCCAGATCGGGTAGTGGCAGAAGCGGTGGAACAGTATTGGTGGTGGGTGCGCACTTGATTTCAAAGTGTGGCGGATTGCAATCTGATTTCGTTCGTGGCCGATTACAAATGTATGCCTTTGGTGTCATATTACATACTCCTTTACGGCGTGGGGGATTACACCTCTATTTCTGTTGTGGCGAATTTGTGGACGTATTGCGTCTGTGTCGCCTGACAATGTCATTCCTTGTGGCGAATTGCAGACGGTTTCCTTTTATGCTGGAATACAATGGTAATCCTTTTGCGGCGGATTCCAAACGGGTTCCTTTGGCGGCGGATTACACACGAATTCCGCCTGTGGCGGAATACAACAGAAATCCCTTTCGTGGTGAATTATTATACGATTCGTTCTGTGGCGGGATTCCTTATGTGGCAGAATACAGATGGACTCCGTTTGGTGGTAGATTACAAATGGATCCGTTTTCATGGCGGAGTGCAAAAGAAGTTTTGTTGTGGCAGCTTGCAAACGGACTCCTCGTATGATGGGTCATATTGGGATTCCTTTTGTTGCGGATTACACAAGGATTCCTTTGTTGGTGGGTTAGAAGTTCATCCATTTGTGG